TTTGCCTTGGGGATGCTTTCCAAGGTGAACCAAGGAAATGAGTTCTGGCCTGGTCCAATTAGATCAGTTCAAATTGAGTCATGGAACTGTCACCTGCACTGTCATGACTTGAGAGTGTGTGTCTGTCTTCCTGTCCGTTGACTCTTAATCCACATGGGATGACAACTGATGTCCTAACCGAGGAGAAGTGGGTGAGGCTGAAAGCTTCCCCAGAGTGAGACTGAAAGCTGAGAAGGGTCCAGGAATTCTACCACCGCAGTGGGTTCCGAAAGGGAAAGCTTGCCAAAGGAAGGGTCTGGAGTCAGACTCCCTGGCTAGTCATCCCATCTCCTGCTCCTGAAAGCAGGGAGTCCTCCCCATTCCTCCCTCTCCGCCCCCGGCCAGCCTGATTGTGGATTTGTCCCCCCAAATAAGCCTCGAAGCTGCCTCACTCTGGAACGCTGCAGACATGCAAGGCCATCTGTGGCTACACAGCAGTTTTGAGGCCGGCTCGGAGTGCACACGACCCTGTGTTCTTCGTTGTTGTTGTTTTGATTGTTTGATGAGACCCACCCGCTGCCTCTGGCGTGCTGGGATCAAAGGCCTGCGCCACCACACCCAGCTTTTTTTGTTTTTCTCTTTCCTTCTCATAGGACCCTGTCTTAATCTCACATACACATACACAAACGTATCGCTCGATCTGTCTGGATGTCAGAATCTGAAATGGTCTAAGATTACCGGGCCGGCTGGGACCTGTCCCTTCTAGAGGCTCCAGCGGAGAAGGCTCTCTGTTTGTGTCACCTTGCCCAGCTCCCCCAGCTGCCTGCCTCCTATTCCCACTCAGGTGGAAGGTCTCTCTTGAGATAAACCTCTCTGCTCTCCTGTTTGAGGATCCTTGGGAGGACACAGAAAATACCTGGTAACAGTGTTAAGGGACTTGCTTCCGTCTTTAACTTTGCCTCCCCCAAAGAAAAAGACAGTTACGGACATGTGTGGGGTCCATTCCACCGTCAGCAGCAGGAACATAAATGCAGGGCTCTTCTTGGAGTAGAGCACAGCACATTCTGGATCTGATCCACTGGGGATTGTCCAGACTGAAGCCTCGGGAGCCCTCCCTTGCAAGGTCCAAAGGACCCTGGCATGGCAGTTAATGAATGAGAGCGTGACTAGTCTATATTTTGTGGTGCTTATTATATGTTTCAGCTTCTTTCTTTTTAAAAATTTTATTTGTTGTTGGGGGGGTGGCACAGCACTTGGGAGGCAAAGCCGGTGAATTTCTGTGAGTTCAAGGCCAGCCTGGTCTACAAATTGAGTTCCAGGAGAGCTAGGACAGTTATACAGAGAAACCCTGTTTCAAACAACAAAACAAAAATTTTCATTTATTTATTTATTGTGTGTGTAGCGGGGAGCACATGTTCCATAGTCTGATGTGACAGTCTGAGGAAAGCTTGTGGTAGTCATTGTCGTCGTCATCATCATCATCATCATCCATGTGGACTCCAGGGCTTGAACTCTGGTCATCAGGCAAGTATCTTTACCTGCTGAGCCACGTCACGGGTCCATTCTCTCTCTTGTTTTGTTTTGTTTTGTGTGTGTGTGTTCGTGTGTGTTCGTGTGTGTGTGTGTGTGTGTGTGTGTGTGTGTGTGTGTGTGTGTATAGGAGTGTGTAAGGTTAGACATTTATGGCGGTTGGTTCTCACCCTCTATCTTGTTTGAGTCAGAGTCTCTGGCTGCTCATCAGCTCATCACTTCCTATGCCCGGCTGGCCGGCCCAGGAGCATCTGAGGGTTCTCCTGTCTCCAATCTCATCATAGACGTGCTGGGGTTACAGACACACTATTTCATGTAGCTTTACGTGGGTTTGGGGGATTCGAACTCAGATCCTCATGCTTGTATGTAAGAGCTTGATGTCACCTCCTGAGGCCCCTGTTTTCTCTTTCTTTATCTCTTCCCCACTCTCTTCTCTCTTGATTTGAGGCTGGAGAGAGAGCTCACTCACTGCTCTTGAGAAGAACCCCAATTTAGTTTCCGCCCTCCCAGGGTGGCTCACAACAGCCTCTAATTCTAGTCCTCCCAAGGAGGCTCACAACAGCCTCTAATTCCAGTCCTCCAAGGGAGGCTCACAACAGCCTCTAATTCCAGTTCAACAAAGACAAGAGAACATTAATGAGCTGGGCTTGGTGGCATATACCTTTGATCCCAGGCAGAAGCATGTGGATCTCTGTGAGTTCAAGGGCAGCCTGGTCTACAAAGCCAGTTCCAGGATAATCAAAGCTATTACACAGAGAAACCCTGACTCAAAAAACCAACCAACCAACCAACAAACAAACAAAAACAACATTAATGTAAGAACAATAATATTGACTAAAAGAAGCCCCACTAAGAAATTCACCATAAAAAGAGGGCTTTGTGCTTGCCTAGTGTGCATGAAGTCCTGAGGTCCATGAAGCAGGTGTGATGGTGCATACCTGTAATCCCAGGATTCGGAAGCTTGAAGGTCAGAAGGCCAAGGTCATTTTAGGCTACATTGAAAACTCAAGGCCAAGCCAGGGTGGCTGTGCACACTTTAATCCTAGCACTCTGGAGGCAGAGGTTGGCAGATTTCTGTGAGTTCGAGGCCAGCCTGGTCTACAGAGAGGGTTCCAGGACAGCCAGGACTACACAGAGAAACCCTGTCTCGAAAAACAAGTCCCAGTCTCAAAAAACAAAACAAACAGAAAAGAAAGCCATGGCCAGATTGTTTTTGCTTGGCCCCAAAGTAAAGAAGAAAAAGTAATTATTGCATTGGATTAGCTTGTGGCATGTGGTTAAGCCAGAAGGAAAAACCAAAAAGCTATTTATATCCCTGGTGGTGAGCACAGGCAGGGGTGTGTGGGGAGAGACCTGCCATGTTTCTTTTTTCATTATTGTGTGTAATATACCCATAGGGAGGTGTTCGTGCTGAGGCACGTGTGTGCAGATGTCAGAGGACCGCTTTTAGAAGGCAACTTTTTGGAATTGGTTCTCTCCTCCCACAGTGGGTTCTAGGGCTTGAACTCAGGTCTTTGGGCATTTATGGGGGAGCGGGCAGCAATTGAAACATAGTCTCTTTATGTAGCCTCGGCTGTCCTGGACTTGCTGTGTATTCTCTCCCCCACCGCCATGTTTCTTACTTTAACTACAGAGACAGGACACGGCTGTCTGGCTTCATGTTAGTTTAAGAATTGTACAAATGTGATCTATTTTGTCTGTGGACAGTCGTAATTTTGTATGTCACACTTTATCATTTTTCCCTCAAAATAATTGTATTATTTTATGAAGCGTAACGACTCTGTTTTAAATTCTCCCTGGATCATGTTCTCAATGCACTGTGAACAAATTCTAAGCCCTTCACCATGATTTAAAGCCCCATATGCCCCGGCCAGCTCACCTTTCGACCCACATCCTCTTTTAACGTTCTCAAACCAGGTACACGGCCTTCCCTGGCATCTGTCACACCCTCCCACGGTCCTGTTCTGTTCGTTCTGAGCACTGTCACAGAGCCACAATAGCAATACCCACCAGAGCATAATACCCTCTGGGGGGGGGGGCAAGACAGATGAACGGTTGGATGTCCAGCCGGCCTGGCCTGGGAGTGCAGCTGTGTGGTTTGGGGGCAATTACTTCGTCTCTGTTTCAAGCACTGTCCAATACTCCTTGGGGATGCAAAACCAACCCCAGTGAGAACTAGTGAAGACACCCACCGCAAGGCAGAGAGAGGCTAGATGAAGTGCTGGATGGGCCAGGCTGAGGGTGGGCTTTTCCAATGAGGGGGTCCAGGCTAGGCAGCAAGGGGCAATCGTGTCCTCTCGGATGGACTCCTCTGCTGTTTCCTCTCCTGAGATTGGAGCTGTGTCCCCTGGTGTCCTTGCTGGGTCCACACTTCTGGGGATGGCTTACTTTGCTGCAGACCTTTGCAGTTTTAGCCACTCCAGGCTTCCCTGAGGAGCCTTACCTTGGGGTCTAACGAGATTCCTCTTTTAGGAGCTCTCCAGCATGCCCCCTCCCCCCGTAGTCCACATCCTGATACTGTGTAGCCCCTGGGAACCTGCCAGGCTTCCCTCCCTCCCCTCACACACTTACCACTTTGCCCTCTGACATGACTCTTCTTCCCCACCCCCACCCCCTGCTTGCCGGGACATTGAGGCAGCTCTGTCCCTCACAGCCGCCAGAGATGCCTACAAAACACTGCCACCATGCCACCCACACGCCTCTCCTTGTATCCTGTTCCCTCTTCTGCTGGATCTCCTCAGGGTCTCCTGCCTTTTCAGGCCCCCTGCTTTCCACAGTCCCCCACTTTCCCACCACCAGGCCCTGCCCAAGCTGTCCCTCGAGGTAGAGCTGCCCCCGTGGTTCTATGTAAGCCTCACTCTGGTCCTCAAAGCCCAGGTCTCTTCTTCCTCTGAGCTGTCTTTTCCTCAGACCCTCCTGTCCCCACATTACCCCCACCAAGGCCCTGCTTCTTATCTAGGAAGGACAGATAGGTGGATGTTAGAGACTGAACTTTGACCCCACAGAGGTCCCGAGACTCTGGGGACCCTTGGCCACAACTTCCATCTCCTGGAGGGCAGCAGCCACCCAACAGGGTGGACTATGTCCTTGCTACCCTGGTTGGTGGCATCTGATATGACTGGCCTCTTTTCCTCTGTGACACTCTCCTTTCTCATTGCCCCCACCCCCACCCCCCGCACCCCTCCCCCCTCCCCCCCCCCCCCCCCCCCCCCCCCCCCCCCGCCACCGCCCATGTTCTTCCTGCTCATCTTGGCCCTTCCTGGGTCTCTGTGATGGTATCTTGTGTCAGCTTCCACCTTTTCACAGCCCCCAACTCTGCTGCTGTCCACTCCCTCCGTCCCTCTGGATGCCTGCCGCCCTGTCCTGCCTCTCACGTCTCTGCAGCAGCTCCCACTTCACCCAGTGAAAACCAAAGTCCCTAGCTGCGCACACGAAACCCTACACTAGGTGTTCCTCCTTCCTCAGCCCCTCCTCACGTCCTTTAAACTCACCATGTCCTTGTTTCAGCGACCCTGCGCATCGCTGCCGCACGTCCTTGGTGCCAGCTGTTTCTTCTGAAGACTCCTCTTGTAATAGGAACAGCTCCTTTCCTTGCCTCCTTCAAATATTTGCCTAGATGTTGGCTGCGTTAAAAAAAAAAAAATCACACTTGCTGGGCACTGGTGGCGAACGCCAGCCAGGTTGCTCTGAGAACCTCTACTTGTCCATAATCATCAATTCCCAACATGTATAACATTTTCTTTTTTGGTGATGGGGGGGCAGGATTTATGTAGCCCAGGTTGACCTCAGTCTCTCCACAGTCCTCCTGCCTCAGTCTCCCGTGTGCTGGGATTACAGGTGGGCACCACTATGCCCACCAGCGATTTAATCGTAACTGTTCATTTTCTTCCTTGTGCGTTTTCCACTACAATTTCAGCCCCACACAGGCAGGCTTGTCTTTTCTGCTCATGGCTTTATTCCCAGTGCCCGGCACATGCTCAGCGCATGAGGAATCTTGAGCTCAGGATGAGCCAGGGGGTCTTACCGGAAGGTGGAGGGGAAGGACAGTGGCCGGACAGTCCACACCCTTGTAGAACCGCCAAGCCTTTCAGGGCTCCTGCGTATAACTTGTAGACGTTACAGTCTCACTAAACCCCCTCCCCCTAAACATGATTCCCACTCTACTTCGATGTACAGGATTTCCCACTCAGGGTTTCATTTCTCTGCCACACTAACCCCAGAGGCAGCAGAGGCCCCTTTTTTTGGCCCGCGGAGAAGCTGCCCGGGTAGCAGGGAGACTGCACACGGAGACTACATTTCCCAGGAAGGTTGCCCACAGCGCTGCAGCTCTGGGGTTTTTAAAGGGCCTCCTGCTAAATCCAGCGCCGGTAGGCGTAGGGGGTGAGGGGGGTGGGGATGGGGTGGGAAAGTGGGTAGGAATGTCTGCCGGACAGAAACCCGCACCGGAGAGCCAGCTGGGAGGAGACAGTGTGAGCCAGGCGGGAGGCACTCGGCATCCTGGTCCTGCAGTGTCCCGGAGGTGAGGCTAGGCAATGCCAGCCTGGGGGCAGCCCCTCTCTCATCGTGACCCACCTCAGCATCTCCCAGAAAATTCTCTTTGTTCCCTTAACTCCCCAGAATGATGGCATGGCGGGGTGGAGCTGTTAATCTCGTGTCTCAGCGGGAGGTGCCCCCACCCAGTCCCAATGTTCTGGGATGGGAGTGGTGGTTAAGACGTTAGAACTGTAAGACTAAATGAAGGTCTGGGGTCTGAGGAAGCTGCGCCTCACAACACAATGCCTCTTCCCTCTCCTTCCAAGCTCCAAGGCCTCCAGGTAAATGTGGGTATGGGTCACCCTCCCAGGAAGGACCAAGGAACTGGTGGGGAGCACCTTGTAAACTGTAACAGGCTATGAGAATAAAACACTTCAACACCGGGTCATCCGATACATTTGGGTTGTATTGGGGGAGGTGGTACAGTATCTCAGAGGTAAGTGCATTTGGGTAAAGATCTTAGTGGAAACCCAGAGGATCGATTATAACCCAAACAAACCTATCAGAATATGTTTTCAAATTAGGAAACTTCAGGGTCACTGACACCATCAGAATTAAAGACGACCTTTTGATCTAACCTGGCCTTTGGCCTCGGTCCCTTCACCTAGATACGACTGGCCTGCGGTGAAGGCACAGGTCGTGGTTCCTCCCCTCCCCTCCCGTCCTCCAATCATTTGGGTTAACCTATGGTGTTGAGGTGGGGGGAGGCTCACTCATTTGCCCTTGTCTCCCCTTAGGTCACCCCACACTTCCCCCAAGTTCAAAGCTCCACCATCTTAGCCTCCTTCCCGCGTGACAAACAGCCCCAGGCCTTAGCAGAGGTTCCTTCATCTTCTTCATCAGCTACCATCACCCACTCCCAGGTTACTATTTAATTAAACAGCTACATGCCTTTTGGCTAATAAAACCACCGTGATCCAGGGGCCGAGCCCAGGTAGGTAGGCGAGACCACCAGAACCCTTACTGTAGAGCCGCTGCCAAGCGGACTTGGCATTTTGAATAGGAGGTAGGCTGCAGACAGAGGTCCTGGGCTCTCTGGGGGCCTCTAACTCGGACCCTAGGACTCCCAACAGCTCCAGGTTGCACTACAGACTGGTGGCGCCCCTTGCTCACTTCGTGGATTTGTGCCAAGCAGGGCAGGAAAGATGGATACATTTTATAACAAAGGCATGGCATCTTCCCAGCAAACTGGCTGTGGTCGGGACCCCGGCTCCCTGCTCGACTGCATACCTCCTGAACCTAAGTCACGACCAGAGAAACGAGGACTCCCTCCCTCGCCCCATCTTTCTAAATCTCTAGAGCACACAGAGCCTCTGCTCATCCCAGGGGTCCCCAGGACAGTCTCTGGTCAGCGCCTGTGGGACAGCACCAATGATGGGTACTGAACCCCCCATCAGGCACACCCCACTTTCAAGAGGCCAGCGGGAGAGGGGAGCTTCACCCCCGGGGTGGGCCTCGGGGTCCTGCTTTGCACACCCCCAAAACTCCCAAGCTAGAAAGGCATATATATATATACATGAACTCTTAGGTTTGGATATATGGAAGACGTGGGGGTGTCTTTGAGGAGAGCAGGCCACCCAGGAAACCAGTTGCCATCTCCCAGGGACCCCAGGTTATTTTGGGGGGCCCTGGCTCAGGCAGGAATCGCCATGCAGAGATCTGGGGGCTCCGTGCAGAGCGTCGAGGGGAGAGGCGACTCAAGAGGGGGAAGGGACAAAGTTTGAAAGTGCCCTTCCAACTCTTCCAGGGAAAGTTTCCTTGAGGGCCCCGGGGGCAGGAAGGGGTTAGGGGTGCTGGGGGGCCTGCGGCCGGGTGACCCCCAAGAGGTGATCGGACCCCGGGGAGACGACCCCTCCCCCCTTGTCCCGACTCGGCCCGGCTGGGAGTCGCCCGGCTCGGGGCCGCGTGTGTTAGTTGGGGCCGCTTCTGAGCCGCTCCGCCAGGTTGGGGGACCCCGCAGCCGGCCGGGAGTGGGAGCCCTGGTAGTCCCAGGGGGGAGCTTTCCTACGAGGGGTCTCAAGCCCCGGGGCTCCCGGGCCCCGCAGCGCCAGCCCCCCGCAAAGGGGAAATGTGCCGGCGCCCCAGTGCTCCTCGACGCAGTTTGGGGCTCGTGGCGGGCGCGAGGGACGGCGGCCGGGGCGCTGGATTCCCCAGCGGGGAAGCCTAGGGAGCCGGGCAGGGACCCCGAGAGACAGCGGGCGGCGGGAGGCCCCGGGCCGCCGGCAAAGGTCGGGTTTGCTCGGCGGAAGAAACACAGATGGCGGCGGCGCGGCGCCATTCCGGGCCGGGAGCAGGCAGCCAGCAGCCCAGTCCTCACCGCGGTCCGCCCGCCGCCGCTAAATACCCGGATGCGCCGCCCGAGCGCCAGACGCAGAGCTGGGAAAAGGGAGGCCGAGGAGAAGGAGGAGGAGGAGGAGGAGGAGGCGGAGGCAGCGGCAGCGGCAGCGGCAGCGCCAGGCGCCGGACCAGCGACCGAGCCGTGGGGGCTGGGCCGCGCAGGGCAGCCCGCGAGCCCGCCTGCGACCCGCGCCCGGCAGGACCGGAGCCCCGCGCCCGGGAGGACCGGAGCCCCGCGCCCGGGAGGACCGGAGCCCCGCGGCCCCCCGCGGCCCCCGCGCCCCCCGCAGCCGCACTTCGGTCCGGCCTGCCAGTCTCCAGCGGGAGAGCGGATCCCGAGTCCGGTTGTGCCCAGCCGGAGCAGGCCGGCCACCATGACCGAGAACTCCACGTCCACCCCTGCGGCGAAGCCCAAGCGGGCCAAGGCCTCCAAGAAGTCCACCGACCACCCCAAGTATTCAGACATGATCGTGGCTGCCATCCAGGCGGAGAAGAACCGCGCCGGCTCCTCGCGCCAGTCCATCCAAAAGTATATCAAGAGCCACTACAAGGTGGGTGAGAACGCCGACTCCCAGATCAAGTTGTCCATCAGGCGCCTGGTGACCACCGGGGTCCTCAAGCAAACCAAAGGGGTGGGTGCCTCGGGGTCCTTCAGGCTGGCCAAGGGCGATGAGCCCAAGAGGTCGGTGGCTTTCAAGAAGGCCAAGAAGGAAGTCAAGAAAGTGGCCACTCCAAAGAAGGCAGCCAAGCCCAAGAAGGCAGCCGCCAAAGCCCCCAGCAAGAAACCCAAAGCCACCCCTGTCAAGAAGGCCAAGAAGAAGCCGGCTGCCACGCCCAAGAAAGCCAAAAAGCCCAAGGTGGTCAAAGCCAAGCCAGTCAAGACATCCAAACCCAAGAAGGCCAAACCTGTGAAGCCCAAAGCCAAGTCCAGCGCCAAGAGGGCCGGCAAGAAGAAGTGACGGCGAAGACTCTGCTTGTGGACACTCCTTCCTCCCTCCTGTGTGTTCTTCTGTAAATACATTTCTCTCTTGGTCTCACCTGCAACCCCCTTGCCCGTTCTAATCTGACTTTTTACAAGAAGGACAGAGTTTGGATTCCTCAGACAGACCTTGTGGAATGATTCCCTTTCCCTCAGCCCACTGTGCAAGGACAGCCACATCTTTGTCATGATGAAGATGTACTTGTTTCTTGATTTGATATTATTAACCTTCTTACGGGGTTAGGGATGGGGGGGGGGGTTGGTGTTTCCTTGGGTGGTTTGTTTACTGTGAAGGCAAATGGAACTGGCGAAGTTCTGGCTAGAGGAGGGGGACCCAGGAACTAAAATTGGTCTTTTTAAGGCTTTCTTAAGCTGCTCGTCCATCCCTTGTCAGATCAGAGCTTCAAAACCTTTGGTGGGGAGCAGAGGGTGACACCCCACCTAGCTGGCCAGGGAGGGCGGAAGAGCTCCCTGGGCTGCCGACACCAGCCGTCGGCAGTTGGGGACCTGGGATTCCTCTTCATTTATGCCCTATGCCTCCCCATTGTCTGGAAGGGGAAAGGGGTCCAGCTTCTCACGATCAGGATCTAGCCATTGGGGAAGGAGGGGTCCGTTCAGCAGTCTCTTGTAAATGGGAGTGGACTTAGGGGGAGGGGTGGAGTCAGCCAAGTGCCTCAGTGTGCCTATGGAAACTTGGGTTTTTTCCACACGGTGGACGGAGTGTGTCCTAGAAGGACTTTGTTCTCCCCCCCCCACTTTCTTTTCCTTCCTGTATAGGATGTGGCCTTGCTTGGTGCCGCTTCAGTTCTACCAGCTGCCACTTAAAACCCCTCCAACCTCTTTTACCTTCTGAATCTTTTCTAAGTAGCCGAGGAGGGGGGAAGGCAGAGAGAGTGGACTGGAAGACATAGTACAATTGATTTGAATTTGCTAGGTAGCTTTAGAGAGCCAGGATTGTGTGCATGTGTGTATATGTATATATCCGTATCTAAGACTAGTATTAGTCTCACTTCGGGAGCTGGGAGAAAAAACCTGTACAGTTGTCTTTCTCTTATTTTAATAAAATAGGAAACTCGCGCACTCGCGCCCCTCCCCCTTTTTAAACAAGTGTTATCCGTGCCGGGGAAAAATTTGCTGTGGTTGTAATTTTAAACTTTAAAATAATAAAACTGGAAAAGGAAAAAAAAAAATCTGTTGCGTTTTTCCTCAACTGGAGGAGAGGAGCAATCGGATGGGCCACGTTAGCGCCGGAAAAAAGCGAAGCTTTGGAGAGAGCCGGGAACCCTCAGGCTGGAAGGGCAGGATGCAGGTCGGCTCGACCCAGTGGCGGGTCCTCGGGAGAGGTGGGTATATAGGCAGGGTCTGGGCCTGGGGAGGGAAGGCCCTGAAGCTGCTTCCCCCGCGCGGACCTCCCGAGTCTCGACTTACAGATCGATCCACTTTTGTCGCCTGCCGACCGCGTCAGGCCCCGCCTGCGGGCGGGACCGCCTCGGCAGCCTCTTAAAAGTGAGCTCCTGTTGCTCTGGCGGTCGGGGCCCTGCCCACGCCACGTGACACGGAGCGCTAGGCAGCCGGCTGGCAGGCGCACTTCACCCGGTGGGCGCGATGTGGGTCAGCAGCGTGTGGCGCGCGACGCTGTCACCCGGCCGCCGCGCGCACTCAGCGCTGGCGCAGCTGCGCGGCGTCGTGGAGGGCGAGCTGGAAGGGATCCGCGGGGCTGGCACCTGGAAGAGTGAGCGGGTGATCACGTCCCGCCAGGGACCGTGCATCCGCGTGGACGGTATCTCCGGAGGTAACTTCCCCTCCTGGGAGTCGGTGTATCTGGCCAGGTGGCCAAGAGCCCTTCCTGGGCTTGCGTGTGAACGGAGGCCCTAGGGTGGGTGTGGGGGAGGTACATTCGTGGGTAGCTGCTGGTCTCCTTCCAGCAGCTATCTTGAGCACACACTATGGCTTCCTAGTGTAAACTCTACCTGTTTAAACCTGTTTCGACGGAGGGAGGTGATTTACCCGTCAGCACTTTTTGGGCGCCCAGGGTTGTGCTGCAACGAGACCCAACCCTGTGAGAAAAAGAGAGCGATATCCAGCTGCACTGGCCTCCTACGCTCTGCTTCCAGAAACAGTGCACGAAAACCCTCATTCATTCATTGAGCCCAGTCTGTAAAAGTTACCAGTTGCTATACCTTTATTCCTTATGACATCTGCAAGAGAGACCAATTCTTTTTTTTCTTCCTTTCTTTCTTGAATTTTTGAACAGGGTTTCTCTGTAGAGCCTTGGCTGCCCTGGGATCCGCTCTGTAGACAAGGCTGGCCTTTCCCTCCCCAGTACTGGGATTAAAGGCATATGCCACCAAGTTCCCACCCCCCCACTCCCCATCCCCCCACTACCCGAGACAGGGTTTCACTTGTGTAGCCCTGGCTGTCCTGGAATTCATTCTGTAGACCAGGCTGGCCTGGAACTCACAGAGATCTGTCTGCCTCTGTCTCCCAAGTGCTGGGATTGAAGGCATGCACCACCACCTCCAGGCTCAAGAGACCAACTCTCATTGAAAGGAAGCACGCCTTTAATCCCAGCACTCAGGAGGCAGAGGCATGTGGATCTCTGTGAGTTCAAGGCCAGCCTGGTCTACAGAGCTAGGGTTCCAGGACATCCAGGGGCTACACAGAGAAACCCTGTCTCAGAAAACCAAAAAAAAAAAAGGGCCGGAAGAAGCTGAAATGGAACTAGATGTCCCCAGACCCCCCACTGGCCAGCTCCAGTGTCACAGGGTGTGAGGTAGAAGACCAGCTTCCACCAGAGAGGCTAAAGTTTAAACAAACAAGGAAGGGGATTGGGTCTGCAGAAGCACCTGTGTCCCTGCACGTCCTCTAAAGAAGACTGTAGAACCAACTTCCATCTCCTAACAAAACCTGCAGCCAGACCAAACTGCTCTTTCCAAGTGATTTCAGAGAGATCTAATCATCAGGTTCAGGGCAGAGTGCTTGCCCAGCACACCTAAGGCTGTGGGTTCAATTCCCAACACACACACACACACACACACACACACGATGGGATATTTAGAGAACCAAGCTCTTAGACTCTTTGTGTTGGTCCCAGGTCATGAGCCATCCCTTCCTCAGGCCTCAGTTTCCTTGGGCCAACTATAGTAACTTTTTGAGATTGGTAACTGAGGTCTCTGAGACACCCCTCTGGAGATACAACTCTGTGGCAGCAGATGAGTGAGCTCTGGAGCTGGAGGAGCTAGGCCCCTTCACAGTCAAGAAAAGTCAAACCAAGATGGCGATGGTTTGGGCCTCAGAACCCGTGAGGAAGGTCTGGGATCCTCTCAGATGGGATGTTATTCATAGCCAGGTTTAAACTTCTCACCCTTCAAGGCAGAGAGGGACAAACCTCTCCTAACCCTCCTGCACTGTGGCAGTGGATTCGAAGCCTCTGGCCTCTCCCCAGACTGGATCATCTGTGCAGCTGTTTGCCTCTCAAGGGCAAATCCAAGTTGACTTCCTCCGGTCCCCGTCGCAGGGCCCGACACCATGGTCCTTGCAGGCCCTTCCTTGCTCTTCTGAACCGTGTTGTTGGTGTTCTCCACCTCAGAAATCCTCAACTTCTGTGCCAATAACTACCTGGGCCTGAGCAGCCACCCTGAGGTGATCCAGGCAGGTGTGCAGGCTCTGGAAGAGTTTGGAGCTGGCCTCAGTTCAACGCGGTTCATCTGTGGGACCCAGGTATGCAGCAGGTGTTGGGGGGCACTGGCCCCAGCTGTCTGCTTCCAGTCAACAGGGCTGGTTCAGCCAGCTCAGCTAATCCCAGGATGCAGCCCCCACCCCCCACCCCGTCAGCCTCAGAACTGTGGTGCTGCAAGGCTGGGCAGGCCTCTTCTGAGAAGCCTGGGACAGAAACTTGACACCCTGGCTTCCACTTCTCACCTGTGGGACAGAACACCTGCCATGCTGCAGGCAAGGGGCAAAGGGCAGAGCTGCAGATATGGAGGCTTTAGAGGTGTCTGTCTCGGCACGGTCTCCCTACACAGGCTGTGCCGCTGAAGATGGTATCTTAACCTCCCCATTTTACTGTTTGTTTTGTTTTAAGATAGGGTCTCCTTTGTTTTTTTTTGTTTTTTTTTTTCGAGACAGGGTTTCTCTGTGTAGCTTTGCGCCTTTCCTGGAACTCACTTGGTAGTCCAGGCTGGCCTCGAACTCACAGAGATCCGCCTGGCTCTGCCTCCCGAGTGCTGGGATTAAAGGTGTGCGCCACCACCGCCCGGCTAAGATAGGGTCTCAATATATAGCTCTAGCTGGCCTGGAACTTCCTATGTAGACCAGGCTGGCCTCAAAATCACAGGGATCCACCTGCCTCTGCCCCGCCATTGCTTTTAGATTAAAAGCATGCACCACCAAGCCTGACCTTCCTCGCCGTCTCTTCATTGATACAATGAGGATCGAAATACTTGATAGGCTTGCTACAGGTGGCAGTTAATACATGTAAAACTGCTTTAGAATGGTCTGTGGTCCACATTAATATTTATAATAATATTAGACACAATATTAGAACAGCCTCTGGCCCACATATAAATAGTAACTGATTTGTTAAAGGTATAAAATAAGTTCATGTAAACATGAGGCTGATGACCATCTCATGAAGTCCGTGCCCATCACTGGGTATGTACTGCCATTCTCCAGAGTGCCCTTCTTCCCTAATGCCCACTCCTAAACCAACATCAAACCCATCCTTGTGCCAGCAAGATGACTGCAGGTAAAGGCACCAGCTGTGTGAGCCTGCCAACCTGAGTTCCATCCCCAGAAGCCACAGTAGAAGAGAGAACTGACACCCGGAAGCTGCCCCGTGATCTCCACACACGTGCACACACAGACACGTAATTTTCTTTAAGAGGGTAAAAAGCGGCCGGGCGGTGGTGGCGCACGCCTTTAATCCCAGCACTCGGGAGGCAGAGGCAGGTGGATCTCTGTGAGTTCGAGGCCAGCCTGGGCTACCAAGTGAGTTCCAGGAAAGGCGCAAAACTACAGAGAAACCCTGTCTCGAAAAACCAAAAAAAAAAAAAAAAAGAGAGTAAAAAGCTAGCTGAGCAGAGGTATCATTAATCCCAGCCCTCAGAATGCAGAGGCAGGCCAATTTCGGAGTTTGGAGGCCAGTCAGGTCTACAGAGTGAGGTCCAGGATGGCCAGGGCTATGAGAAACCCTGTCTCAAAAAGCAAAAACAAACGAAGAGCAAAGCGTTCGTTTTAAAAATAGTAACCTTTTTTGTTTTCTTAATAAACAAGTTTGCTTCAAAAACAAAACTTACATAGTGCCTGCTGTGTTCCAGGTGTCACACAGGTAAGACCACAGCTACTAATTCATTAATTCCCTTAACTGATTCCCAAGCAATCAGTGCTGTTCTTACCCATGATATTGACACTCGGCCACGAAAGCCCAAAGAGACTAATTACTTACCCAAAAGCACAAAGCTTCTCATGGTGGGACTTGAACCCAGGTACATGAGGTAAGGGTCCATCCATTCTCCTAGGCCAAGCATGGTGGCACATGCTGAAGGCAGAGGCAGGCAGATCTCTCTAAGTCTTGTCTCAGTGAACGTTTGAAAAAAGAGTCAATTTTATAACTGTCCTTGGTGAAAGCGAGTGTGAAGTGAACACAGGCAAGAACCCCCCACCCCTCATTTTTGTTTTTTTGGTTTGTTTTGAGACAGATTTCTCTGTGTAGCTCTGGCTGTCCTGAAACTCAGTCTCTATACCAGGCTGGCCTTGAACTCAGAGATATGCCTGCCTCTGCCTCCCGAGTACTGGGATCACAACACACTCAGTTTTCTTTTCTTTTTCTTTTTCTTTTTTTCTTTTTTCTTTTTTTGACACAGGGTTTCTTTGTGTAACCTCGGCTGTCCTGGCTCTGTAGACCAGGCTGGCCTGGAACTCATAGAGATCCGCCTGTCTCTGCCTCCTGAGTGCTGGGATCAAAGGCATGTACCACCACTACCTGGCTCGCACTCAGTTTTCATGCATTTATTTTCTTTTTTTAAAAAACAACTTATTTATTTTTATTTTATGTACATTGGTGTTCTGCCTACATGTCTGTCTGTGTGAGGATGCTAGATCCCCTGGAAATTGAGTTACAGACAGTAGTGAGCTGCCATGTGGGTGCTGGGATTGAACCTGTATCCTCTGGAAGAGCAGCCAGTGCT